TTCTGTACAGTGAACAATAGTCACGCTCGGTGGACTGGTGGTTAACGTGCTCACCACTGGACCAAAGGTTCGCAGGTTCAAACCTGACCTAGGTCGATGGAAAAATCTGTAGCACAACTTCCTTCGGAGGGAAAGTAAAGCCGGCGGTCCCACGTCGTAGATTTATGGCATGTAAAAGAACCTTACGAGCATGATATGAGATGTTTCGTAAGCAAAATTCAGCGGCCATTTCTCACCTAAGTCTCTCCCGATTTGCTCTAGCAGACAAAAATCAGGATTGAGTAAAAATTGTACACAGGCAGTGGGCTGGTCTCTCACTACTCACAAATGCACACTTCAAAGTCTAGAAAACCTCCAAATAGGAGGCGGTGAAAAGCCACAAATGGCTTGTAGAGCCAAGAAACAACAACAGTGAACAATAATGGGATTACATTTCAATTTCTCAATTTTACAGCCCGATACATTCAATATAAATGCTCCACAGTAAATGTATTACCACAATTAAGAATTCACTGCCATTATTTTACAAGCACTGAAATGACATTTTATCACTGCAACAAGTAATACTTCCCCCAGGCTACATTATACATGAAGTGCAGGGCAACATAACTCATGTCGCTCTGAACTCGGTGCATCTGCACAATATTTTTATTACCGACACTCCAAGTCCCTCTTAATGTTCGAACGTCCCCAAACAGTGACCATGTAGTGAAAGAAAATACTCGTTATCCTACCAACATTTAGTCTTGAGTAAACTGCAATTGTGGCCATCAACAGTAGTCTGTCTTCCTCATCATTCTGTGGGCATGAAGCTATGAACATAATTTACTTTGGAATGACAAAATATGCTCAGTCATCAGCTACTTTTGATCAGAAACAGCTCACTCCCCATTATAATTCAAATTGTAACAATAACCAAATCATATTTCAGGGATGCACAATATAACTGGACACTTCATACCAGTAATGGCAACTTGGATATGCACTGACGTCAACATACAAAAAGGAACGGCTTTCACTAAGGTATCTGCTGAAGGACCGCATTTTCAAAACAAATACTACCTCTAGAAACTTCATTTCACACAAGTGGTAAGAATGTTGTTCATGACACCAAAATAAATCTAAGGCATTATCATTGTGCATCTCTGAGAACATGGATCACAAAACAATGGCTGTTCATATCAAAGCAACTTTTTAAACCAGTCTCACATGGATAACTTTCCTTCTGTTGCTAATTCAAAGTCACATTCATAATTATCAATTATTAATTTTAAAACTTTGGCCACTCTGTAGATCAGACATGTCAAACTCGGTGTATACCAAGGGCTGATTAAAAGAGGGGCAACTCTCCCAGGGACCACTGCATGGGTGGGCAAAGTAGTAACCACTTAAATTTACCGTTTCCAAGCTTAGCCTTTTAAAGCAGTCTTGTTGAATATGACCGTTTCATCAGGCCCTAATGATGAAGGCAGCAGGCACCACCCTAACACTGGTCAATTATCTACTAGACAGCAACCCAGAAGACAGTCATCGCCACTTCTCCATTTTCACACACAAATGTGAATTTTACCAAAACAAATTCCCACTTATTTGTCTAAAATATAAAACAGCAGAACACAAGTAACTACCTATTTAAAATAAAGTATTTATTAAAACTGGAAGAGCTTGGGGAGCACATTGTCTATAATCTGTCAGGCCACATAAAACACAAACAAGGGCTGCATGTGGCCTCTGAGTTTTGACACGCCTGCCCTACATCACACTCTGCAACATTCTCACTGTTTTGGTCTCAGGAAGCACGCGTGACCCATCCACTGACACATTTTCTCAAGAATGGGTGGAACTAGTGCACTACTACACCCAGATCTTCACAACAAGAATCTGATTCGATCTACAAAATGTCCTACATTTTTCATGCCAAAGGCTTTTATCATATCACATGTGGCATTCGGAGGGTGGATGAGCGGGTGGAGGTTCAGTGCACCCTCATGCCCTTGGGGTGAGAAATCACCCCTAAAGGCGGATGAACCTGGATGGGTCAATGGCATATGATGCGGAAGGCAAGGGGAATCCACCGCATTAAAGATCCTCGGGATATCCCAAGTATCAGCAGCTCAAGAGCTGCTGCCAACCAATCCTAGGATTGATTACAAAAGAAGAAGAAGAAGAAGAATGTGGCATTTAAAAATGGTGAAGGCAAATAGTTATATGGCTGTTCATCTGACATTAGCAAAGTTATATAATTAACTTATTTTCCTTCATTACAAATGTATTAATGTTCCTGCTCAGACAGTTACTACATGCGTTAATTAACCTTCATGACCGAGAGAATCAAAATTCTTGGGTTTATCTCTAGCTGGTGGACCATTTATACCAACAGATAACAACGGCAAATACAAAAATTATCATGACAGCAAAGTGAGACAAAACAAATTTGTAGCTATATAATTGGATTCAAAAACTACTAAAACACTTATGATAATGTCATATGTGCCATTCTCTTATCTGTAAAATTGCAGAATCTTCACAATTTACTACAGATTTAGAAATGTGCCACAAACCTCTGTGCAGGCCTGTACTTCTACTGTGCGACGAAGAACACAATCACATGTGCATGCATACACAAACACACACACACAAGAATGCTTCAATGATGAGTCATTCCACTCTCTCACTGCCACATATAAAATTTTTGGGCGAATTCACTCCTTACTAACTGTCCTTCGAGTTATTACTATTTGTTCACAAACACATTATATGATGATAATGCGAAAAACAATCAATTTATCAGGCAGCTGAGCATTGCCAATTTCCTGCATTAAGTGACAACTGGTGTTACAGGAATCTTGTTGTGTAAACTTTTATCATAAAAAAAATAATATGAAAAACCAGTGGCATTCTCACTCCAAAAGACAAGCTTTGGACCGGCAGTCACAGAATTCACACGTTTCACAAAATGAAAGGAGCGCCACAAGTTTTCTCCCAGTCTCATGAGGCACTTTTATCTAGACGGCCCTTAAGCAAAACCTAACTCATTCAGTATCTGTAATGTATTTCTAAATACCTGCACCAATAACAACAGATTTCAGTTCGAATTAAGTCGTGTATGTCAAATTACTTATACATTATGCACTCGTGGCTATGGCATAACATTTAGAAAAGAAACATGAAGCAATTTTGACTAACAAATCACTGGGCTGACAAAGCAAACTGCGCATATCATTTCCTTCTATCTGTAGTCACTATGGATAAACTAAGGAGTACCACCTAAATGGTACTTGGAACAATGCTGCTACATGAGAATTCAATTGAACAAAGAAAAAACCTTTGGGAAAATGCTGCACCTTCCGTGGCACATACTGTACAAAAATTTAAATTCATGGTTCAGTTTTGAACAGGCTACTGTACAACTGCTAAACACAACTTAAAAATGTACTTCTACATGTTAGCCAGTTCCTCAGCCCCACTCCTCCTCTGCTCCACCGCCACAAGTCTCACAGCTATGCCATATTTCACATCACAGACCCATTTTGTAGCACACAACAAAGTTATCATTGTGCATCTTTGAAACTGTAGCAACGAAGTAGAACAATCAGTGAGTCGCATTCAACCTTGTTGGTGGGGGTGGTTTTTGAGAGTCTGCCTGATGGTCTTTCTTGAGTTTTGTGATACTTCAAAATCAAGCGTTCAAGTTTCAAATGAAACTCGATCCTTACAATGCTGACTCCAATCTTTTGTAAAGTAAATCAGAACTGAGCCGACAGATGTCAGACAATGAAAATGCTTCTGATATAATGTGTTCAATTCTTTCTTGTGCTGTGACGTCTTATGAAGTAAGTTACTGAGGTTCATTTCTCTCATGTGGAAGTTAAAATCACCAACTGTTTAGGGCTTGGAGATATCTTGATGTCAAACCCTATCAGAACTATCTCCTCCTCCTTCTCCTCATCATCATCGGTGGTACTCATAAGACATCTTTTTGTCATTTCACAAGATTGTCTACGTTGTAACACACCTTTTGCGTGGCCCCGCCATAATGTCAAGTAGCGAAGACAACTTCAAAACTGTTTCGGTCACTGAGTATCTCAACTCAGAATTGTAAAGTCTACTAAAAACGCACTGTGTACGTCTGCAATGCCAAAAAATAATCATACCTACTGCGGCGTGGTTGTAGAAAAGACATGATGTGCACTAGTGTCATACCCACCATGATAGAAACTGTGACAAAAATAGCACGTGTTAACAAGTCATACCAACTTCAATGGTAAATAACTCCAACAGCAGGAAGTATTCAGAGGTCAAACATGAAAACTGTATGTAAGTAAAATATGACCAGCTAAAACAAACAGGCAAATACTACACATGAAACAACTTGGAAAAACAATAATTAACATGAAAAATTTATAGCTAAAAAAAAAAAATTGTGACCAAGAAGCCTGGCTTCTCCCTTCATAACTACCCAATTTTCAAACAGACCTTTATTCCACATGCACTACTGGAAGAAAGAATTGCAGGAAAACAATTCCATACCCACCACACATTTCTTAGTTTAGTGTCAGCACACGACAGTATTTTCGGTTAACACTTTGTACAGAATGAAAGTACTTGCAGCATAACTATGATAACCAACAATAAAAACAAGGCGACAGCCACGTGTTCAATGGCTTCCTTTCTGCTCAAACACGATCACACACAGTAAGTTGAAGAGAACCATGAAAGAAACTGATCGTTTTACGTGGCAAAACATCGCTCAAGTCATCCCACAAGTGAAATGCGTTAATCAAGAAATTCATTACAAATTACAATTCTTCTCTTCTTCCAAAAATTTAAGATCTGACTAAATAACCCTGGAAACTATAATACAACATTAACCAAATAGGCATCACATTAAAATTAAAAGGTGTTTTGGAAAAATCACCACTGTTCTTTTAATAAGATTTGACACTGCCTTTAACCACTGGTACAGGTGGTTATTAAAGATAAGTTTTATTTATACTCACCGTTTGGAGAATCTGGATGACAGTTTTGAGAAAAAGGATGAAGTCCGTCCTGAGTGGCTGATAGCCGACGTGTCCTGCGACTGCATGGGTGTGGTCTGGCCATATGATGGCGTGTGATTACGTTGACGATTCTGACCGCTGTGGAATGTTGAGCGGCTTGGCACGTTACGAGGGAAAGGTGACTGCCGATTGCTGACTGCTGGTGACACTGGAGGGCCTCGCCCAATCCCACTGCTGCAACATTTAATACGCAGTCTACTGGAAGAACTACCTTTGATAGCCTACACAGGAAAGTCAGGATACATCAACCCAACCAAATACAAGAACAGAAACAGACAGGTATGATGAAAATTCCTTGATTAAAAAATTGACTCACACTCAGAGAATGATGCAGTTTCAGCACCCAACTATTCAGAAATATTGAGTTCCATCAGTTACAGAAAAAGCGAGAAATATATTTTTAGGGTAAGTTGAAGTTTTATCTACACTTATCAGTAGTTTGCCACACTGGAGATTCATGACCAATGCTTGTGGGAAAACAGCTTTCCAAAGAACTACTTTGTTGGGAAATGTTCTTTATCATAGCAAATTTAAAAGATTTATTGCAAATGCTGAAATAGGCTATTCTGTAGAGTAATTTGGATTACAATGAAAATAACAAATGAGCACTTCAAAAGGAATGTGTAATTCCTGTACCTCCTCCATGTCAGAAGTACTTCATTCTTTTACTCAGAAGAGTTGATATGAATGGTCAAGTGAATCACAGAATTCAATATGCACTAATTGCCTTTCTGTTGTCCGCATTTTTACACAGGATTTCTAGTGTTACATACAGTAGATTCCGGTCAATCGGGACAGCCATTTATTTGGCACAAATCTTAAATAACAAACCTTTTTAACTCTTTACGTGGAACTTCGCTTAATTGGGGCAGTCGCTTAATTGGGCCAAAGTGTTCCAGTCCCGATGTGTCCCAATTAACCAAAATCCACTGTATCTTAAAATCTGTCAAATTTCAGTTCTTAGTTAAATTTTGAAAGGTGATGATATTTTCCTTTTGCTGTAATAATCGTGTCTTAGTCTAATATTCTACAGAATTTCATGTGATTCAAAAACGTGTAGAAACACCACTATTTTCATATTATTCCATTCTGGCACACTCATAATTAAAAGAAAAGGCAATTTCAGAGGCTAGACAGCAGAATACTTTCTTACTCTGCTGCAAGTTCTGGGCGTACAAGATGCAAGCAGTTAAAAAACAAAGTATACGTGTTTGGACGAAAACAGCAGATGAGTCAAGGTGGTCATGTGACACCCAAGTTATAACAGAAGTGATTCTCCAACTTCAGTTTCCACTTGAAGGCCAGTGGTGAGCTCAGTGGAAGTATTGCTTCCCAATGCAAATCAGTCTTAAAAATTATGAAGTGACAAAAGCTTGGAATACTTTCCCAGCAAAATTGTGTGCTTTAATATTGTAATTTCTCATCCACATGGCCTACTCGTGGTGTATCTTCTTTGATGAATTACCTGAAATCTGAGTTATGGTATTGAACATTAAGAAACCGATACACACACACACACAGTGCGTAGGGGCGTCAGAATGGAGAGCTTATCCAGGTCCACAGTCGGCCAAAGCAGGAAACCCACGCAGTGAATATACAAAAATGCATGTGTTACTATAAGCCGACTGCAGACATAATTAATTCTCTGAGCAAATATCCATGTTAATTTCTGGTCCCTTACATAAATCTTCCACCATATAACATAACATCATTACAATGCAACTGACAGCCAGGATTAATGAAAAATACATACCAGCAACATTACAAAAAAAAAAAAGAATAAAAAATAAGTCATAAAAGCAGAGTAAATAAATGCCACTCTTCAAACGTCAAATAAATTAACTGAAGAGATAATTTATGGTCTTCGCCGGCAATTGCAATTTTAAGCTTTCTAAGTGATGATGATCCTGTATTTGATACTTCACACCACACAGAAGTTGGCTTGTGTTTGGAAACACAATAGCTTTAGTGATGCTGCTCCACTACACCAGTGGCATCATCTGCAAAGCCATCAGCATCGGCTAACACGACTACAGTCTCGCCCATCCCCTGCCACACTTCCTGCTTATCCCCACCAATCCTCAACCACATGGGGCATTGCCACATCCCACACTAACAATCTACACCATCCTTTCAGGTCCCCTAAAGAGGCCGGGTTTTCCCATTCTGTCTCATTGCTGTCCTAGACAGCCTTCTGGTCCCAGAAAGGAATATTTCCTACTGGCCTGGACTTGGCCCCAACCTCTACCCTCCTCATCCCATGGCTCTGGTTGGCCAATTCTCACAACTTCCATCCATTATCCATCTCCTATCCTGATATAAACCACCTGCTTCATGATGACAGAGGCAGTATGATCCTTGAATGTCAGCAACAAGCCAAACTTCTACATGGTGCCTGGTGCCAAGACCCAGACACAGAATCAACATCAGCTGCAATAATTTTTAAACTACATGCCATCAAAGTAAATTTTCCAAATACTGGTTCAACTTCTTCTGTGCCATGTACTTCAAACTGGCTGTAGCATCACCTCCTAGGTTAAGCTCAGTGATGTAATGGAGCTTGATGTTTATGCACAATCAAAAGCACAGAGAACAAACTTGAAGTCATTAATCGTTATTCAGAATGGCACACACATCTATCTCTTTGCTACATACATACATACATCCGTTCCCATTCCCTGGTGCCGTACTTTGGGACTACGACATTTAACGAAGTTCTGAGTAATGCACCAAATTTCCACCATCTTAATGTAACAGCACAAAATATTCAACAGTTTATGTACAGAACAGACTGAAGCATGCAATCACGTTCCCATCACGTGCACATGCACCAACACACACACACCCAACAGCACGTGCAAACATGCACACACAATCTTTTCATTCCGTGGCAAAGTCATCTTTTATTTCTTAGCAACACAAATGGCAATTATACCACTGCAGATTTATTCACAGCTTCAGCACTACAAAATATATAACTGAAGTAGCAGTACTTGATGCAGGATATGTATACACTTTCTAACTTGTTTATTTAAATGCTTCCAAGGAAATTCCACAATGAGTAACAATGCATGCTGCAATACGCAAGTGAGGGAGAAAAATGTCACCAACTACACATGCAGAAACAACCGACAAAACCTTAAGCCCTCTACTTAGTGAAGCCCCCAAACAAAATTAGATATAAAAACAAAACCAAAAGAAAACTTCAAAGACGCTCTGCACAGAAAATGAATCAATGCAATGAATGAAGGGTACTAGCCTAAAGAAACTGAACTGTACTTCACAACGCTTGTCCACTAAATAAAATAAATCCTGCATCAAAAGCAAACAAAGATTTCAGCATAACTTGTTACAATAACCATGAACCTGTATAATCTGTAATGACAGAGTCTACAAAGATTACACTAGCTCTTAAGCATTCTTTTAACGTGTAACACAAGTCTGAATGACAGTTCAAATGCGTATGAAGGTACAGCGAATATGCTACATCATTAAAATGAATCTACAGCTGAAAGTTTCATATTGACCGCAACAATTTTAAAAAAGCTTTGGTTAACTTCTCATCTACTTTGCTATGCATCATAATCAATTTACACTGCATACTACCTTTGCCTGAGCGGATCTATAGGGGTTTCTAGGGCCGGGTGCTCAGCTCTGCCTGCGGTAGAGATGGATGCAGACTTGAAATGGCCTTTGGCCGAGCGCACTGGCAGCCCATCTCCTACTCCCACGGAACTGTCGATACAATAAATAACCCACGTTACTGAGGCCGCCAGCTGGCTGACTGGACCGTCTAATGCTAGACAAAGACCTGCAGAAACATCCCCCCCCCCTTACCCCCTAAAATATGAAATTCTGTGTCTAATTAATGTTCAAAATCTTCCCAGATAAATTATGGTTAAAACCGTTTCTACCAAAATGCATGAGTACAGTCATTTCTCCATTTACACAGTAGACGCATTCCTGAAAAATGCTGCATAAAGGAAGAGCTACTTTCCATAGGAGGCTTGAAGTCTCAGACAAGAACAGATTTATTGCATATACCTATTCAAGTTAAACGTTTTTACAGCTGTATCTAATGTGATATTACCATTTCAGGAGACAGGGTCTGTATTAATACCATGCCAGTGAATGCCACGCCCGTTACTGTGTAACAACCTTAAGTTACGACTACAATGACATAAATGAAGAAGTGGTATATATCCTTCAACCACTCTTAAACTGAAAATGCATAACTGGAGAAGTGACTATAACTACAGCAGGAAAGACATTCACACGGAGAAGCTGCAAGTCTGTGTTTAGAACCGACAGTCAAGGCTGTAAGGACATGATTAAAAAACACATGGAATGGACCAAGGACTCCTACAGTATTCAAGTGGTCCTTAAACTTTAAACATGTCTAAAAAGAAGCACCATTAATCACAATGGACACTAATGACCATTTGTATCAGAACCACTATAATCAAGGAGCATTTCTGTCTCTCCTGCTAGAAGAATTAAAACACAAAAGAACAGAGAACTCAGGTAAAAATGCCATTTGTTCCAGCAAAGTGTCAGCCCATTGTACAGGTACTGAACCACCAGCACCAGACCAGTCCCCTCACAGGTAAGTTTAACAAACTGCCCATGACCTTCTCTGGCAGCTCCACCTTTAAGAACCGATAACAAAGAAAATACTTTCATGGAAAGTGAACTACTCCCAAACAACACACAGCCAAACCCTGATACAGTGCCCCTCTATGTACCCCTACCCTGGCATAGTGCCCACAAAATCCTCAATGGGAATCCTCCAATACAGCAACTTCCCCAGCAGGTGCCATTTGCCAACATGCAGCATTACTTAATCAAGTGTAATGAAGTGCCATGACGTTTTGTTTTGACTGGCTACACAGACAAATGACAACTGCGTTAACAAATAAAACACACACTGAACCTCGTGGAGGGTGTCTGATCGATACTGAGGGTCAGCAGTGTAAACGTGGCATTCCAAATCCAAGGAGTTTATTAAATTAACCTGTTACTTGGAGTGGCAGTGATTTGAAAATGGAAACATTGCAGAGAACCAGCTGTGCAAAGTACCGTGTAAAAATCCAAGAACTCTGACGTAACGGTAATAGTTCAACCTCTTTCTTGGTGTTTGATGTTTCCTGCAAATTTTCACCAAGTAACTATCACACACTTCAGTCTGAATAAAAGTGCCAGGCAGATGCACTTGTAGTTCAAAGTTAAGCATTGGTGTCGCTGAAATGGAAGATGTGTGCACCTACAAGATACACACTGTGTTGCAGGTATTCCCAGAAAAGAAAGAGCACGACAAACAAATGAAAATGGCCGAAGGGTGAAAAACTTGAAGACCTTATGGATGCATTAGTTAGGTTAGGTATTTTGATGTCCTTAAAATTCTATACTCTTTCTGAGAAGTCCATACGAGGGGGCGCTGTGCACGAAAACATTTTTCCATTAGCAAAATTTAAACGTCACTGTGATAAAAGTTATGTTATGTATTAAGTTAAAGCTCAAGAATAAGCATAAAAACAGCATAATCATGTATGATTTTACAGTGACGATGTTCCTATTTAAAATTTATTAACGTGAATCTCTAACTACCCAGCCGAGTGTTTAAGCATACAGAATACCAAAGCATAGCAAGGGCAAAACACCGACGACTCGCCCTCACCTAGCGCCGAGTTCAGCAGCAAGCTGAAGCTATATATACCTCCTGTACTCAACCAGAGCAAGTACCGGGGACAGTTTCACATTACTTTATACTGAAAAATAGGGTGTGGTAATTACAGGCCTATATTGTTAGAAATCAACGGAGTACAAACAAAATTGTACATCAACAGCATACTTAATTACTGGGCAGTAACTCAAAATTAAAATGAAACACATATAATAAATATTCAGAGGCACCTTCTGTGAAAAAATGATTAGATATGAAAAACATATTTTGTTTACACACTAATATATTTAAACATTTCTCCAAGTTCTGAGTTATTTGTATTTTATTTTCCTGAGAATGACAATGACAGAAAATTACTAATGACTGTCAATAAATGAAATTGGATTTATTCGTGACCAGGTGAAACAGATGGAGCAAGGAATGGAAATATGAAAATGAACGAATATGAATAAATAGTCTGATTCGAACAAATGCATGCAGACATGTCATCATACCCCCCTTCCCCACATTTATTAACAGGAACTCTCGCTACCAGATGTGGATACCGACCAGAATTCCTAATTCGAAACATAATAAACTAATGCAGGCAGGCAATAAATTTAAACGACTGTAATCACGGCACTTGTTTCTGGTGGCATAAATCTCTGAACCGTGTCTGCAGATGAAATTGCACATGCAATGTTTCAGCAGTAGCAGCAACACTGAGTCTGTACTGTATGGTGGCATGGTCATACCATTTCAAGTCCACTTCAAAAAATTGTCTAACCACGCGCAGCTCACAGCTGTTTTTCTTTCAACTCAGGATCACACACTTTAGAATGTGTACTACTGAGAAAGATTTTCACAAGAACCCAGCATCGGCCCCTAACCTTAGCCACATGAATCCAACCCACGCCTTCAAACCAGATTTCTCCTCTCATCCATGCTTACATCTTCTGGCTGGTCTCATCTCTTCAGGATTTCCAGCAAAAGTCTTGTGCATATTTCTCGTCTCCCCCCCCCACCCAATCACGCTACAGTACCACTCCTCCATCCTCCCTGACATACGATATCACTAACAAACTCTGTCCTCTCACCTTTCACTATTACTTTATACTGCAACAGAATATCATAATTATGAATATAATTAGTTAGTCTACAAAAGTGCGTTACTACGGAGATTTTATGTGATTATGTTTCGAAATAGCTTCTCAATCCACGTAAAATTTCATCGCCTTTACGTTTCAGCCGGACTTGCTATTTGCAACTGTTTCCCTTTTCATGACATGCACATAAAGCCACGTGTAATCACACGTGCACAGCTTACATGCCCGGCTGCAGAAAGCCAGTACAAACTGTGGAACTGTCAGGCATTCATTTGGGCGGCCAGGGTCGTAGGCACCAGAGATAACACTTGTCTTCATTCATCTCTTTCACATTCCTCTCTGGATAAATGTTTTGACCACCTTACAACCTTCGTCATTCTTTGAAAATTACTCCTTTCCAGAAAATGTTGTAATTTGTTGCCTCTCCATATTTTCATTTTTTTCAATCCTCGCCAACTTCTCTCGTATCTTCAAACCAGTTTATCCACATATTTCATACATGACATCAGCACTTCAGAAGAAATGCACTGAGAGCTTCCAGTAGTGCCACTGGCAAAAATGTGTAAAGTGGATGGGACACGGTTTGACGGTAATGTCGCCATAACATGTGACCTCACAAGGGCAAAGTTCACAAACTTGGGGGACTGTTTACCAACACCTTAAAGTGGCATGGGTAAAGCCCTGCTTCATACATAAAGGAATAATGTGTGTGGCAGTTATTGAATTACTAACATACTTCCTTGTGTTCCTGCTTTTGCGTGAACTCTCTCAAAACAAGCAAACTGAAATTGCCTCTGCCAAGACTCGGAGACAAAATACGTAAAGCATCAAATGGGTAGAACCATAACACAGACAACAGTGCAGTGTGTAATTCTACCTTCTCTACAACCCTACTGCTAAAATATTAAGTGGTCATTCTTTCAGGTAAGAAAGAGAAAACTTTGCATGAATTTCTCATGCATGCAACAAACCCACCGGTATCACCACCTTCAATTTAACAATCCCAGCAATACTTTGTGAAGCGTAAAAATATGAAGCTCCTCATTATGCAATCTTATACAGTCTCCTGTCACTTCGTGCTTCACCAGTCCGAATATTCTCCTCCCTACGAAGCTGTTAATTTCCATAAGTTTAACACCAGGCGTGCTTTTGTGCAGTCATTTTTTTTATCCATTTTCACATGCTAGGTGACGACCAACACACAGCACGTCTTAAGTTCTGGTAATAAACTTGACTTGTGGGTCGGATAACTATGCACATACAGTACAATTTACTTCTGTTAGTATGTTAGCTCTGGCTCCTTATTTGGTCTCATTCACAGCCATTCAAAGTAACTAAACCCAGTCAAATTAGCACATGGCCAATGCTCACACATTATATTGAAGCTTCATTTCATTACATGCAATTAATAATGAAGAGATGCAAACCACAATCAAATGGCTGAGTACACTAAGAGGGAAGTGTCTGTTTCAGCTGAAAAAAATGTACTGTTACTTTGCAGTGAAATTACCTGCGGACAGCTTAATCCAATATATTAGTTCAAAAACATACGCTGTTCAGTAGTACATTAATTTATGTCAGTAACTGATACATTCTGATTGGTTTCAGTTGCTTTAGAAGAAAGACATTGCCAATTTTAACAAACAGAATTAACTCACAGGCAGGTTTTCAAAAATTTGGAATAAACTTCCCAATTCTTGTTCAAGGATGCTTCGCTGTGAGGACATCCATATACACAATCTAAACTGAGAACTAGTACGCATTTTTAGTGCAAAAAATTTGACAGACCGAGGAGTAGAAAGACAGCAATCCATTCCACACAAAGCACCACGCATATTCATGGCAATGTATCACTGTTGAAACGTACGTCTCCTCTCCTGCATATTAAAACACAAAAGCTAGGAAGTCAAAAATGTGGCAATGAGCCACTACAGCTCTGAATTAAAGTAACTGAAATCATGTAGAATATTTCAATTTTACTAATCACTACCGTGTATCCTTCAATGCAATATCGGTGAAAGTAATGTCTTACCTTGGCGCATCGCCTGCCGCATTAGTCTTCTCGTTGGAGGCCGCCTTAGCATCGTAGCTGATGGTGCTTCTCCTGCCTACTGACACGCCAGGTGTCAGCGTTCTGTTGCCTGTCATCGTGTTTGACTTGGTGACGCCTCGAGGTTTGCCAGGACTGCTTACTGACGCTGAAATGACAAAGCAAAGTCACTTCACACTTATTACAATCTGCTATACTTCTGAACTAATTACATAATTAGTATAAGGCACAGCAGAGTGCCAATTATCAATGGTAATTAGGGGAGCAGGGAAACAGATAATATATATATAAAAAGTTCGTGCAAATTAAATTTTATTAGAATTATCATCATCATCGATGTAAGCAAAATAGGAACTTGCACATATCTGTACTTAGAAATATACACATTTAAACTGCGGAACGTATATAAAAAATACTAAACATTATTTCCAAAAGTCAATTTAACAGGAAGTCCATAATTTTTGCTTGATTTCTATGTTGGGGGAGTGGTGGAGGCAATTAGTTGAATCACACTCAATATAAGACAGTGCTGAGAGTAGTTAAGAAAAATATAACATGTAAGGAACAATCCAAATCCACAGATAATCCACTCCATGGATAACTGGGCCCAGATAATTCGCACTGAATTGTATTTTCCAACTGCACAGACTTCCAGTGTTACAAACCTCCATCTATTAACGTTATACTTAAGTAGGCACACTGTATATTTATTTACAACCCAGAAATGCAATGCATTTTAGCTCAAAGGTCAAGAGGCTGAGCCTGTGTGCAGATGGTCACTTGACCGACTCGCAGTTAAGCCAAAATCTTTCGTCCGCAAGATTATTTACTTGTGGTTTATTCAACGATGCTGCAAGTAGCTCAGACTATGAAATTTCAAATGAGATACAAATCTAGGTACCATCTCAGCATTTCCTTAGTATGACTGAGTAAAACCATACTAAAAGTCAGGATTGTTGGTAAATGGACTGAGATTTGAAACTGGGAACAGTGGTGCCAACCACGTGGCCGCGAAATCTGGTGTTACATCATTACCACTATATTCATTATCATCATCGTGAACTTTTTTCCTTGCTTTTGCACCAGTAATTATACAAACGACTCACTGGCCTGGGCGAAGCTGCTACTACATATATGCATTACAGTTACATCATCATTCTAAATATAAGGAATCCTGTACAATGAAGTCACTTAAGCAGTCTAAGCAGTTTTAATTCTGTTGTCTGCAAGCGTGGTATCTGGTCTGCTGTGTGTGGCAGTTTCATTAGTGACGAAAGCAATCATTGACAAATGCAGGAAACTGTTCTGAATGTATACATTTTCATGAAAAAAGAAAAAATGAAAGACGGCAAAGGGACAAAGAAAACCTGATGAAAGTGCAAAACAGGCTGGAATAGGCAACTAAGATTCTAAAAGGGTAACTGGAACAATTTTAAGAAAGCAAGAAACACGTAAGAGAAAAGAACTGCATTCAGTTTGCCCAGCAAGACACACGAAGTGCCAAAACGTGCATCATTCAACACAAGATTCATTAATTTTGTGTGCAGGATAAAATGTCAGCAACTATCTCAAAACTACTTCCAATACTAACGGACAGGATTCATTTCAAAGGCAGTGCAGCTAACTTAAGAAATGCTGTGAAGGAGCTTCAATTTCATTAGAAGACTATGAGAAAAAAAAAGGGTGGCAGCCATGGTTTCATTCTCAATGCACTAGAATTTGTAGCCGCGATTATAATGATCCAACACAGAAAATTTTATTTTTAAAAGTTTCTTGTGAAGAATATCACCACCTACTACAGAAGTATCATCAGGTACTCAAGAGAAAAGCTATGATGACCTTGGCAGTGTGGGTTAATGTTATTTGGGGAATGCACGGACTTTGTCAAAAAATATGTGGCTTTAACAATGCATAACGCAGCATTTTAACAAATATGTTTCAACTGAAGATATGACAAACAACACAAGTAATAAATAAACATAATCATCCACAAATAGAAGACAGAAAATTAAGTTCAATTATTAACTTGGCAACAGAACTCAACCAGACTAAAGAGCAAATGTTTTCAAATTACACCACAAACATAGAAGAAGAAACAGAAGAAAAAGAAAGAAAAAAGAAAGAAAAGAAAATGAAACAGAAGTAACTTGAACACAGAACAAAGAACATGAACGTACTATGGTGCAATTTTTTCTCAACTGGAATACATCAGCTTCTAGCCACAGATTTAAAACCTTCAGACTTCTGCAAGGCTCTGCACTGCCAAGGTCAAAGCTTTTCTCCTGAGTAAGAAACAGTATACATCAGGTCCAGTTTTCTTTGTCCGGACTGTACTTCCTAGTGACAGACAATGAAACATCATTATACTATTGCACCACTGACTCCCTTCCAGCCTTTTGCTTACAAATTTCACCAGCCAAAAAGTATTTATCTGATTATTTTTTTTTTGGTGGCTTTGTTTGGCCACATCAGATGGAAAGGGCGAAGGGCGTAGCCTGTGTGGGCAAGATACATGCCTGGTTTACTCCCTGGACTTGGCCACCTCTGGGAAATTCAAAAAAGGATAGAGCCATGTAATTTTTAGACCCGAGTGGAGGAAACCTGGGTCGCAAACCATGAGTGTGAAGCACAGGGTAAGGGCACTTTCAATGCAAGTCTTCCCTGCAACTGCTTAGCCACTGGGGAAACGCCCATGGGTTTGCTGAGCTCTTGCAGTGTCAGACCTGTGGTGCTCTAAGCCAGACTGGTGGTAAGCCTGCATATGAAGTGTCGTATCAATAAATCTGTACCTACGCACTTAGTTTATATTCATTCTCAGCTACTGGAATTATTTTCAAGTTTTAAATGTTTTTCTTCAAATTTCATGCAAAACTGCAGAGTTTGAGTGGCAGAAAGACTCAGGGAAAGAAGACTGCAGTTAGTTAGGAACCGGCGTACATTTTGTAAGCACTCGCACTCGAGTGTCACAGCAAAATCAATAAAATGGTTAATGGTAATAACACTTGATGTTCTGTAACAAAGAGGAAGCTGCTTAGGAAAATGAATCTCAAATACTTAAGGAAAGTTTTGTAACATGTAGTTGGGTAAGTAAAAACACATGAAAATAGAATAGAAAACCTGACAAAATACCACCTAGAAAGGACTGCCAGCATTAAGGGGAAAATCAATTCAATGTGATACACACAAATGCAAAGGGGGTGAGACTGGGGACAGGATACACAGCACAACGATTCATTTTTATGTGGAAACATCAAGAAGCCGATGAGAGGAGACAGCCGCGATAAAACAATGCCACTCACATCACTACAAGCCAGGAAGGACATTATGAAAGTGAAGTAAATAAATCTACTAAATATTAAGAAAAAAAAGTCACATTTCAAATTCTTACAAGTGTCAAATGGTGACGTACATGGTTCAATCCCTGGAAGTGGCGTGTTCTTAACCGTTGCAGGTCTGACAGCTGCGCTGGCAGAGTTGATACGCGCCGTGTTCTCTTTTATGGTAGCCGAGTCCACAGTATTTTGACGTTTGAAGTTACCAGCTGGTGTGTGATTGTGGTTCGCTGCATTTGGAGCAGCAGTTGTGCCACCTATACACATAACAATGCTGTATGATTTACTGCAGCTAATGTACATATTTAAAATAATAAAAATGTATGTCACTGCAGTTCGAAGATTCCAGTCAATGCAAGAGCATATATCTTTAGCAATTTCCTTCAAAATGTTATCTGTTTACAAAGCACCACATTAATAATTACATTTTCAACAGTAAATTTCAATGTCAGCTTACAGAACTGACTGTAATTTTAAAATAAATGATACTGTCCACCTGGGTCAGTTAATGAAATGTATAGTACTGCTCTAGTGAAGGGTTAAATAAGGCACAGAACAAATTTTATGAAGCACTACTCAAGGAGAAGGGGTTTGTAACAAATGACTTACACAAAAAACTAAAAAGTTACAAAGCTGCGTCAGGAAACGAGGACATCAAAATCAACGTTCACTACCACACAAACTACAAGCTATTCATGACGACGGTGTTCATCTGGGTTGTGATGCCAACTGAACGTGGAGTTACATACAAAGATTTCAGAAGAACACATTTCCCCCATCTTAAGAACCTTGAAGATAGAGTCACCACGTTTCTTTGAAATGTTAGTATCTATAAACAAGTCCAGCTGACATTAGAACACAGAAGATCGCCGTCATCTTCACCACCGTCAGAACCTCAAATCTCACGTGTACGTTCACGTCTGCCACATCAAGAATATGACCGTTGTTACTAATCTGAAACTTTATAGAACGCCATGAAACTGTAATGACAACACAATCTTAAATTAAAACATCAATTATTCCCTGTAAATTTCTCCTTACCTGCCTAAAAATCAACAGAATTTAAGGTATACATAATTCAAACACATCATAAATGATCGTGAAAGTACCTTACTCAAATGTTCAGCCACACTAGACTTTACCCCGACACAAGATTTTCTGTTCATAAGCGAAGAACAAGACCACATTTACAGACACTAATGGTACCTTCATTTTATGTGTACAAGTTTAAGACGCCCCCTTTAATTCTACACAAACGTGAACTTTCTGGTTGGTAGAGGTACACTGTAACTGTGAGAGAACAAGAATGGTCTATGACAAGAACTTCAGCGAAAAAACAAATGGCACTGTCAAAGCCTTATTATCACAGAAAGTGTCACATAAAATGAACATTTCTTCTGCACCTTCATCCACTTTTGCTCTGTAGCTTGTGGTTCTGACCACACTTACAGTTACACTATCTACACTTGATGTCCTGTCCACTATATTCAGTGTTTTGAAGGGGAATCAGTGTTGACTTCGCTATCACATGACGTTTTGTATCGATTACAACACTTCAAATTATACTATGGGCAGTGTAACCTGTCACTGGGCTAGTGAACGTAAGTAAAGTATCAGTTACAGGCAAATGCAGTGTAAGTTCCATAACCACAAAACGAGTTCCACTTTTCCACTTCTTCATGCATCACCATCATGCAAGTTTGTGTTTTTATTTTCACTCGTGTATGCACAAATAGTAAATTATGGGCAAGGCAGAACTATTCCTTGTACAGGAAACTTCCTAAGCAGCAGTCAGTTGTGAGAACAAGAGGTCATTTAAGCATGAGAAAACCTAACTCTCAGTTCAGATACTGCTAAAGAACAAATGTTGTTTTTGTCTTCATGATAGTAACTTCGAAGAATAATATTATTGCACTACCCACAATAAATGTATCATGTCGTGAAATATGTAATTAGAGCCATTATACAGCCAATTTTATATCAAGCTTTCACAGCGACTAACATGAATAAAATCTGCTCTACCTATACGATGTGTCAGTTCATTAAAGGAAGCTACTGAGATCAAGAGCTCACCCCAAAAACTTTAAAAGCGACAGTGGCTACACTGTCAGTCCTGGTACCCAGTGGCCAAAATGTACGAGCAAAAAAGTGACGTGATAATACAGAAGAAAGACCAAGTTAAGCAAGCAGTTAACTCCACCCACTAGCTTGCACTCAGATTCAAATAGAGGCTCTGGGTATGTATGCATGTGAGGCATTCTGGACGCAGGCTTGACAATGGGGACAGAAATGCGATTTCTAACCGACTGACACTGATGAATTACATCAAGGTTGCGTAATGAATTCTGGAAGTACTAAAACAATCTTAAACTCAAATAACGGCAAAGTAATCACATTAAATGGAACTCATCAGCGTGTTTTCTCATTAACAAATTCAGCTTCACCCAAAACTCCTTGATGAACAATTAACTGTCCTAAACGAAATAAAATCCAAGACTTAAAACAGCCCTTAAAAGCTCAAAGTTCGCACAGCACAATCTTCTGGAGTTTCCCCACATGCAGTTTCAAACTATACAAGTATATGAATAATAATAAAAGCATCAGGCAAGGGGCATGGGGAGACAGAACATTCCACAAACATATGAAAGGACAGCCCACCCCCTGCAGCCGTGCCCTGCTGTTGCTGTTGCGACTCACGCAAAGTCTCACCCCCGGACGACGCTCGGCGACTCGGTTTCGCGTTGGTGGCTGAAATGGAGCGATGGACTCCTCTGTGGCTGTGTGACGGCGACTGAGCGTTGCCTTGCGTCACTGCGGGCGGGATATTGCGCAGCGATAATGAACTACCAGACCTAGATCCATCGCTTTCCGGCTGGAAAAAGAAAATATGCTAGTAGGAAAGACAAAGTATTTCTATGAATATATCAGCAGGCAACACTAAATTACCTATCAACAAAACAAAATGGCAGTGATACTTTTACCAGAAACACATATTAAAGACCTTGAGAAACCATAAAACTCGACTTCTTTCTTTAACATTCAATTTATATAATACAAGCACAGGTATACTCACATCTGATGACTTCCTTCCCAGCAAGAGGTAGGTGGCGAACACGTCGTCATACTTGGCGTTGGCCAAACTCTCTTCAATTTCACTCCTGTTGTAGCCCATACTGACTAAGGCTTCTGGAAAAAATGACAAGCGATGGAATAACTAGCAGGAGGGAGGAACACAAAGCCACTACTCACAAAACAACAGTGCCAGCAGTTGGAAAACGGAACTGCCTCTTAAGCACAAGTCACTAGAAATACCTTTTGGCCCGATTCTGAAATACAAAATTTTATTTCTGTACCGATGCACTCGTCTTTCTTTAAAACGTCAAGAATTGATTAAACACTGGGATTTGAGATTTTCACAGTGGTGAAAACTAATATCACAGTCTTTTTACCATAAAGAAAAAACAAGCAGATAATGACATACAAGACTATACAACATTAAAAACAGAAGCCAAAATATTGTTTACAAATACATAATTAAAATAAC